CGGCTGCGGGGCGGGCAGGTCGCGGGAACGCCTGGCCCAGGGCCGCGGTGCGGGCACAGCCCTGTCCCGTGGGGAGAGTGCGCAGCCTTGGAGTGGAAGATTGACGTTTGCAGAGGGACAACAGGTATTTTATTTTGTTTAAATGTGAGGGCTGGTGCTTTATGTTTTACATAAGCTGCCAGGCTTGTGTTGTTCGGGGCCCGTCCCTGTGCTGCGCTGCTCTGCCGCGGAGAGTCCCTTCTCTTGGGGCGCCTGCAGCTCTGAACTGTTGTCGTGATCAGCGGAGTCACAACAACGAATCCCAGCACACAAGCACCCTTTAGCTGCTACAGACACGCAATATACCTGTTTACACCAGAATATCTACTGTAATTACGGTACTGTATGATACCACGCAGAGGGACATGGACAGTCTGCGCCCTGGGCTTTGCATGCTGTCAGTGGCTGAACCTTCCTGGTCTGAGTGTTGGGCTCACGAATGCTTTCAATTCCAGCTTTGCATATGTAGCTTAATGTTTGTCTTTTGCCTCTTACGCGAAAAGGCACAGAATATATGCATAATCTAGACAAATCACGCTTTAAAACAAACTTATTTCAAGCAAATAAAATGTCAGCTGTCTATCAAATGTTTCAGGTCGAGGCCTGAGTTTTTCAGGGTGACTGTGTAGCTGATGAATAAGACTTCTAGGTCATGACAGCACATGTATGTTTCTTTCCAGCAGTTGTTTATTCACAAGTCAGTGTTTGTTTAAATTGTGATAATATTTCAGGCAAGGTTTTCCTTGTTTTCATACAATTGCCTGGCAGAAATAAATACTGTAGATTAGAAAAACAAACTGAACGTTCCTGCTTAGTTCATGGGTAGCATTACCTCATTTGCCTATCTTAGTGACATTTGTCTAGCTTCATGAAGTTCTGTATTTGCCTTTTACAGGTGAGATGGGAAGGCTGAGCTGTTAAGAGTTTTAACACTGAAGTGCAGGCATAATCCATGTTTTATGCTGGGCAGAACAAAAATATTGACTGCTTAATAGGCAACACTTTTCTGAATAACGGGGCTTTGAAGTAGCCCTGGTCTGTCCTTTGTTTTAATGAACACTATGTGTTCTCCAGCAGTATTTGTAGAGACAATGTATATGTTTTGCTGCAGCATAGACACAGGAATGTAGTCTTAGAAGACCATTGATTCGTAGCATCCAAAGCTTCAAAACTGTAGTAGGCCATGTGGTAAGTGTCTAATTGCTGTAACACTTGCTGCCATAGTCTATAAATAATTGCCTAATGAGCTATTTTAAATTTAACCTGTAACAAAAGCTACCAAGTCACAACTGTAGTATCACCGGAAAAAGCAATAGGATAGTGAAGTGCTGACAAAACATACTGATATTTTAAAATAAAATGCACTTTTAAAAGATTATTTTGAAACTTACCTGTCTGCTATCAACACCGAATCAATTTACTTTCATTTTCTACATCAGGTTTTCACTGTAGATTCTGAGATGGACAAAAATAATTACATTGTGTATTAATAAATAAATTACAGATCTGTAAAATGACTAAAAAAAATACTAACAAGCAGTGCTTTATTTTGTATTCTGGCATGAGGTTTCTAGTTTCCTCTTAATGGCTTAAACTATTAGTCTTTGGAATGTTTCTGAACTCTGTCTTGCATTAAGCTACACTGTGTCATGTTTATACTACCAACTATTTGTCAGGTCCTGCAGAGATAACCATGGTTTGGATTACTCTTGCAATGAGCTTTTATTCTAAATGAATGCTGTGATTGGAGAAGTGGAGCAATATGATTGGGTTGGTTTGTTTGTTTAGATTATGTTCCTCATCTGAAATGGTTTTTAGCAAGGTACTGGTATATGTTTAAGACTTATATCTGGTAAACAGTTGCTTTTCATTGAAAGAAGAATGGATGTTCTCATTTGATCGTGATGCATAATCCACTGCAGGCCCCCTTCCCAACTATCAGAAACTTGCTACAAAAATGATTAATAGGACTAAGAAAGCTTTCTCCTTAAAGATACTGTGGCTTAAACTGACTTGTGTTCTAAGGGATTTCAGAAGACCTACACTGTTACCAGAGAACAAAAAAAGTTTTATTTTATCTGGCAGGATGGAACTGACCTCAGATGATGAGAAATCGTTTAGACCATCCTATATTGTTAGTGTTGATCTGCCTCCAAGAGCAGGACCAGTAAATGTGGAAGATATTAAAGCAGATCTCTCTGTTAATTTTTCTTTGGTTTCTTCAAGTTCAGACACAAGCCAGGTAAGAAAGCCTTAATGTTTTCATTGTTTAGATTTTTTTTTTAAACTATTATTCCTTTCATCAATAAGAATAATAATAATTTTACAGAAAGGATGAAAAGTGTTTCTGTGTTTTAATAATGAGAAGACATATAGGATTAGATGAAGTGAAGTGGCACTGCACTGATACCTTATTGGGTGCATTATTGTTCTGAGAATTAGGCTAATTGCCAGTTCAGAGCAGCTTAATCATAGAATGAAACAAAAAACCCCCACATTGGTCTCTTGTTGGCCTGAATGTGTATATGTAGTGTATATGCATGTGCTGCAAGATCATTTAAGTTATCACAGTGAACTTCTGGAGTGCCCCAAGTGCTTGTAGAAACTGATGTAGTGAATTATGTTTGCTTCCCATGTCATCAAATAAGTCTGTTCAAAATAGCCTGATGGAAATAAAACTGTTACCATGGTAGATGTAAAAGAATCTAGTCAACTTTCTAACTTTTTTTTTTATAATTTAAGGGGAGCAGCTTGGAGTATAAGGGACACATACAAGTTTGCTTGCGTATTAAGCCACATACATCATCGGAAGGGGAATATGAATTGCAGGTGTGACATTTTTAAACTAAATAAAGGTTTTTTCCTGGAATCTGAGATCTTAGTACTTTTTTATGACTGCATTGCTTGTGCTTCCTGTTAATAGGACTGCATTTCACTTGAGGACTCAAAAAGCATCATACTGAAGCCCCCCCAAAACTCTTTGGGTCGACTAAGTGAAAGAACTGCTGGACAGATGATGCAGAAGTTCACTTTTTCACAAGTAAATTAATAGTCTTTAAATGTTCTTAACTGTTTCCTTGAAAAAGTTGTTTAACTTGTATTATTTATCACCAAGCAAAGTAGATTTTTTTTTTAAACTGTCAGTAGCCTTTAAGATTACAAACATAAAATTTAAAAGTTTCTTTAGAAGTATCTAATGTTTGCTTAAATAAAGGTTTCTTGCTAATGCTCAGGTGTTTGGACCAGAAACAACTCAAGAAGAATTCTTTGAAGGTACCATGAAGCAACCAGTGCAAGATTTCTTAGATGGATATAATCGTCTTATTTTTACATATGGTGTTACAAATGCAGGGAAAACCTACACATTCCAAGGTATAAGTAGAAATGTGTTCTCCTTAAATTAACTTCCTTTTTTTAAAGTGAGGATTATTTCTAGCAGAACTGTTCTTTTTCTGTTATTTAAACTGTAGGCCCCATATACTGGCTTCTCAATTGTTAATAGCCTTCGAAGGTCTTCTTCCATACCAAGTATGTAAATCACTACAACAAACTAGCATTTTATTTTCGTTATTACAAAGGTCGTATGCATCTTATGTGCACTGTCTTCAAATAACTGTTAGTGTTTGAGCCTGTTTCAGTTATAAGCAGAGAAAAAACATCTTGAAACAAGTCTTATTACTTGCAAGTACTCCTGTCTTGTCTCAAGTTTCTGAGCTTATAAATAATATTCTAGGAGACCTTGTCTCATCATATGTTGTTTCTGTACTGTTATAGTTCAATGTCCTTTCTGGTCAGAAGACTTAATTCTTTCATTATTTTTCTAAGCACTTTAACAAATGAGCTGACTTGATTTGCATGGAAACAACTTTTCTTATGTTGAAGTGGCAGTCCTTATGCTATACTAATTTAATGTGTATGTTGCTTACAGGCACAGAAGATGATGTTGGTATTCTGCCAAGGGCTATGGATATGCTGTTTAAAAATCTTCAAGGAAAGCTTTACACAGCAATGGATCTGAAACCCCATCGATGTAGAGATTATATAAAGCTGACAAAAGACCAAATGAAGGAAGAAATTGCTATTAAAAGCTCAATACTTCGTCTAACAAAAGAGGTAGAGGAACGCTTCTTTCTATATTCATGAGTACACACATCTTTAGAGTCTTCCTGTTGAAAGATGAACAGGGTAATGCTGAGCTATCTGTTTTTAAGGATGAATGTGTCCCTTTGCTGTCAGGCAGCTATTCAGATTAGCAGTAGAGTGAGCAATTTAGCTGATGAACCCTGTTCTCCTGTGGACTTCTGTTTTGTGGCAAGATAGGATCTTGATAGGATATAAACTCCAAGTCCTTTTTTTCCATAGCTTAGATACCTAATAACTTATCCTCTGAGGTTACTGGTGCTTAATAAGGAGTGAATTCACAATGTCTCTCCATCTGTGGGGACAATAGTAGGTTTGTTTCTTTAATAATTTACTGTCTGTCAGGATACTTTAATGATTTTGGGGTTGTTTCCCTCTTCTAGCTTGGCAAATATCAGCAAAGGAAACAAAAGCTCTTTTGGAACAGTAGAGGTATAACATCAGTGGATTTACAAAGGGTTTTAATTAATATTGGTCTCTTACAGACTTTAGACAGATTACTGTGGAGCAGTCCAGAAATATACTTCAGTTTTGAGTTGCCTGGAATTCTAATGCTGTTTAGTGCAGTTACAGTTATGGGGATTTGTTTTGTTTAAGCATACCTTCTTGGTGCTTTTCATTACTGGAAAAATATTTTTTAAATGAGCATATGTTAGGAATTGGAACTAGAAAGGGGTTATTGTGCTTTCTCTATTTTTTTAATGAAAAGAATTAAGTATCTCCCTTGTGGCATGCTAGGTTATAATGGAGTGTTCTAGCTGTCGCAGGGTGGAAAATACCTTCGTTTTCATGAGTTATTTAACTGGACTTCTCCAGTCTGGAAGGCAGGTGGCAGCAAAATCTCCAATACTTCAAAGCATAGGTGTAGAGTTATTATCTTGCTCTAGCAGTTTTTAAGGACTTGTGAAAAATCTGTCATGTATGGGTGTTTGAATACATATATATGTCCCCTCTAGTTTATAAACCTGTGCTTTTAAGAACAATAAATCAGGTTATCAATTTGGTAAAGTTTGCGTCTATGTGCAGGCTTGTATGGGTGTGTTGTGTGTAAAGCTTAAAACTAAAAGTTTTGATTACTGTTTCAGGAATCGTTTCATGGGATTGCAGCTTTAGATCAAACATTCTTGAAAAAAACTTTTTTAAAGCCCCAACCAAAATCACACCTGTTTTAATCCATGTTTCTTCTCTTAAGCCTACTAGTTCTGGTAGATGAGTTGCACTTTGTGGTCCTGTGCCTAAAAAAACCAAACCAACAAAACTAAGACTGGAAAAGGAATATATGCTTACAAATCTCAAGCTCTAGCTGTAGGCATTTGTTTTACATTTTTTAAGAGCTCATCAGAAGAAAATTTGCCTTATCTATCTAAAACCTAGACATTATTTCAACTGTGAGAGGTTTCACAGTTCATACAGCCAATATAACAAAGTAATAAGTTGCTCACTTAGTTTATTAAGTGAATGAGTGTTCTTTTGAGGGTTGATCTAGTAAGCTGTAAGATGTGGAATCCTGGATTAGCAAAATACCAATAAAATTTCAATACTCTAGATTCACCAGGTGCAGAGTTATGTGTGAACTGCAACTGGACTCATGCAAATCTTTTTAAATTAGTTCTTGTGTGGGCTCCCTCTTATTTTTCTGTAGCTAGCTTTTTTCTGATTCAGGAAGTTGAAATTTGCTGTGATAGGGCCAGATATAAGGGAAGTGTTAGGAATAAGTATTTCTGTAAGAACATTAGTTTCAACAGATGCACTGAGCTAGTCATGATGTGTAACCAGGATCTTCATATTTGGTTATTGCAACTACCCTGTGTTCCTATCTAGCAGGACAATAGGGCTGTTACAAAAGTAACTGGTGTACTGATGATATACTGTCAACAATGTATCTTAAAGTCTCTGTTCTCTTTTGTAGATAGATCATCTCCAGCAAAATAGCACTAACAAAGTGCCGGTTCATTCTCATGGTATGTTTTACATTAAATAATAGTACAGCATATTGTATAATATATAAGAATAGTATTTATATTAAAAAATAGTAATTCTATGTGGTTCTGTGATTTTGTAATTAAAGCTGACAAAGAAGCTTTCTTAGGGTCAATAATTGACTTCTGGCCTATGTTAATAAACACTTACTACTCAGCATTATTTGTGTATTGAATAGTAAGCAAGGAGAAAATGCAGAGATAAAATGGTTAGCAGAACACCTGAACAGGCATTAAATGAGATGAAACTATAGCAAGAACTTCTAGTACTACTTATTCTGTGTACTCTGGTAGTATCCCAATGGGATTTTATAGTACCTGTATGTAATTAGACCTAATTCTAGCATGTAAAAACTGCCTAAAGACTAGATCTGCTTTAAAAAGTCAGACTTAAAGAGTACTCCTCAGTTTAATTCTGTCTTCTAAATATATTGAAGAGACTGGAATCTGGAATAATTCTAACCAAGCTATATGTGTCTGATAGAATTTGCAAGTGTGAAAAGAACTGGTGGAGTACGGCTGTCTTGCAAATATGTAGGCTAAGCATGTGACTTACAGATACTTAAGGAAGGGGAGTTGAAATTTCTTTTTTTTTAATGGGATAAGTGTTTTTTTGTAATATCAATTTTCACTTATTAATTTAAGTGAAATTCACTTTAGGCCTAAATTGACTTGTAATATTTTTTTACTTGGCAGATTTAGAGGAACTCCTGGATGAATCTAGCACAACTGTGAAGAATTACACAAAGTTTTCTGTTTGGGTTTCATTTTTTGAGATTTACAATGAATGTTTTTATGACCTTCTGGTTCCTGTATCAAATACCAAGAAAAGAAAAACGCTACGCCTTGCTCAAGATGTTAAGGGATGTTCTTATGTGAAAGGTGATGATACTACATTGCAAATTGTAGTAGGAGTAGGAAAGGCAACGTTCTACATATGTAGAAATATCTATCTTAAATAGTATTTTATTTATTCTTGACTGACTTCTAAAAGCCTGTGTGTATTCTGCTGCCTTGATATTTTTCTGAAATGGAAGGACTATTGTAAAAAGTAGAAAAACTTGTTAGTGTGCTTTTTCCATTTTCTTAAAGACTCCAAATGTCCTAAACTATAGTTGTAACTGGCTCAACAGTGCTTTTTTTTTTTTTGCAGAGAAAGACTTCAGATAACTTGTGAAAAAGTTTAGTTTAGCTACAAATTACATCTTACAGTACTCTAGCCAAACCTGCAATGTCATTTGTTTTGTTTTGGGAGGTGGGAAGCTGAAAGAACCTAAAATAACACTTCAGTGTTTGTTTCTGACCATGGAAAAAGTAAGGCTTGAAACCTGATAAATTTGTTACATGTTCTTTGCACCATCAAGACACCGGTTGTAAACTAAAGGCTTTTTTGTACATGTTTAGCCTGCTATGTTTAGCTTCAATATGCCAAACTAGAGATGCAAAAAGCTGAATTGGACAATAGAACCAACTCCTTCGTTTCTTAAGACTGGAAAATGTGAAGTAGGAAATAGTATGCTTTGATCTATGCTTCAGCATATTTTTTTAATAAAGCTTGTAAGTGTAAGGCAATTAGTGATGTTATTGAGGAAAAAGTCATTTCTTGTTTTTTCTTGGTCACAGCTGGTATTTTTGCTAGTACAATTTTGGTGTCCTCTAGGTTATCAGAGGTCAAAATGTTAATATTGCAAGTTATTTTAGTGCAGTTGTAGGTATTTACCCATACCCGGATGACATATGATCATCCTATTGCAGATGAAATTCTTCACTGATATCTGTCAATTAAGTTGAATGCTCTGAAAGAGATCTAGGGTCCTCAAAATGGTAGGCTAGAACAGAGAAGCTGTCCAGGTAGAATTCTGCCTTGATTAACATGAAAATAGAGCTTTCACAATTCTTAGACTCTGCCTTCTGGCTTTTCAGTACTCAGGCTAAGGTGGTTTGCTTAATTTTGATGGGACATGTTTTTAATGTGCTAATAGGAAAAAATTGTGATATAGGATGAAATGATGCCTGATTATCCCCTAATCCCTTCTTTCTTATTGAAAATGGTTTTTTTCCTATAGATCTGCAATGGGTTCAAATTTCTGATTCTAGAGAAGCTTTTAGACTCTTGAAACTGGGATTGAAACACCAGAGTATAGCAAGCACAAAACTAAATACTTGCTCCAGCAGAAGGTGAGAAACACTTTGAATAACGTGGGGCATAGGATGGTGTGTGGGAGGAAGGAGAAAGTAAAATATGGCTTGTGGCTTTTAGGAGAGAAAGAGACTAACAAGGTCTAGATATCTAGGGTTCAGTGTTGGTGTCCTTTAGTATGTGAGCTGAAAGGATTCAATCCTTCAGTAAGATGAGCATGTACAAAAGTGTTTTATCAATATTTAAGCAAAAGCAGTTACGTTTATTCCATCTAAAAGTCTGAGGATAAAGCAAAATAAATGCATAGATATCTTATAGAAGTTTGTATCCGATAGGTTTATGCCTAGGTAAGTAGAGAGATTCAACAACAAGAACAGATGTGGACGCTAAAAATAATTTTAAGGTATCTATCTACTTTATCACTTTTCTGCTAACTTAAGCTTCTCCTTTTAGTCACAGCATATTCACAGTCAAGTTACTAAAAATTGAAGATTCAGGAACACCTCGAGTGACCCGAGTCAATGAGTAAGTTCACAGCAGAGTCCTTGTGATGTTGTTAATTATATCCCATATTGGTGCACTGGTATTGTGCACCACTGATACACCCAGTGCTCCCTGGTAGATCATATATGGTGGTTTCCCCACTCCCTGCATTTATGCCCTACTTAGCCCTCAAGCCATCAGGTTGCAGTGTTTCGTATCTTGTCCCCTCTGTTCAGCACAGGCTTCTACTAGCTGGCTATATTCCTTAACTCATGTAAGTTCTCAGCAGG